ATGGGGTGCCTTGGGCTCTCCGTTCTTCCCTCCACCTGGGGAGAAGGAAGCTCCTTGCCTGGCCCAGAGAAGCACTGCCGTGTCATCGGTGGTGCTCTGCTTGACAGAGGCGCCCCTTAGCCTCAGGTGAACGCGAAAATCTGCGTCTTTTCTGCTTCAGCATCATTTGTAAGAGTGAAATTCGGTGCCAGTGCAGTTTCTTTGTGTTTGGACGTAGCTACAGTGAGCTGGGGTTACAAATAAGGCTGGGCGGGTTCTAGGTATTTCCTTTTCTGGGCCCTAGGTATTTCTAACGTCAGTACGTTAGGAACGCTTTCCTGTCTCTCAGTCTATCTACTTGTCTATCTGCTACGTATCCATCTGGCTGTCGCTCCCCTCCATGAGGGTTCTGTATGGGAACAACTCTACGGTAACAAGAAAGAGGATACCGTGAAGCCACCCTATCAATACATCCTGGATGGCAGCGGGGCGTCTCTCAAAGAGATGCTTGATAAGTGCATGCCTGGCAACAAGGGCATGTGGCCCTTGCCCTCAGAGCTTGGTCTCCGAGGGTCCCTTTCTGTCCGGGCGCAGGTAGAGCTCAGGCCCGGCCTGGGGCACTGGCCCCAGCCCTGCTGCGTCCACTCCCTGTGATGGGGTGAGGGTGTGGGGTTTGGTCCACAGGTCACATTCTGCTAAGTCCCCCTGAGATTCACCCTCTGCATCTTAGGTGGATTCCCCCCTCGTTGCTGGGCCATAAACGTGCCCTGGCCCAGGAGGGAAGCTGGAGGCCTCAGGAGAGGCCAGGATGGGCAATCGGGCGAGCATGGGCCCAGCAGAGGGGACAGAGACATCTTGGTGGGAAAATATGGGAAGGAGGCCACGCTACCGTCCTGTCCCAGAAGCTGAGAGGGGAATTTCGGGAAGCATCTGAACGTGGGCGTACCAGCTGGCATAGAAGTTGCCCAGGGTGAAGGTCACGTAGCAGCACATGGCGACGACGATGGTCCACTTGCAGCCGAGCTTCTTAATGACGATGGGCGGCAGGAACATGGAGGACAGCAGCATCCCACCATAGAGCGTGCTGAGCGCCGCCACCCCCAGGCCCTCCTCGCTGTACAGGCTGCTCTGCGGGGACAAGGCCAGCCTGGTCAGGTGCCCGGCTGCCAGGGCTAGGTGGTCTGGGTCATCTCCAGGTCCTGGAGAGCCCCAGCAACAGGTTGCCTGGGCGGGCGGCCTGTCCTCCAGCTGAGGGATGGGAGACTGCGGTGAACTCTGGTTAAGGGGGCTCAGCAAGTGCAGACGAGGGGGAAGCAGCCAGCGTGGCCCGCCTGGGGCAGAGGGGCCCTCACGCTTCCTGCTTCCCGCAGCCCCTGCCTCATCCCTGAGAAGGCGGGGTGCCAGGGCAGCCAGGGGCCGGCGCATCTCCAGGCTCCTCCTCAGGTTCCCACTATGCCTGAGGCAGAGCAAGCAGCTCCAGCTTAACGCTGTGTAAACACAGTGCACATTTTTCTTGTTTTTGTCATTCCTCAGTTGGTGCCTAGCATAGCTTGGTGTGACGCGAACAAAAGGTCAAATAGGTAACCAGAGCCAGCTCAGGCAAAGGCAATGGCAGCTGTGACATTTGGCTTTTGCTGTGAAAGAAAAACCTATTAGCATAATTGCTTCCTCGTTTATTTCACTTGTAAAGGGACAGGAGGGGGAGGGGAGGGGAGGGACGGGAGCAAGTGGGCCGGAGGGGGGAGAAAGAAAGGAAGAGGAAGGGAGAGAAGGGGAGGAGGATTGGGAGGGGCGGGA